TGGATAACATTGAGAAGAATGGGAATTCCTGAACACTTAATTGTATCCATGAGGAACCTGTACATAGACCAGGAGGCTGTCATTCGAATGTAACAAGGGGACACTGCATGGTTTAAAATCAGGAAGGAAGTGCATCAGGATTTTAATTTTTCACAATAATTATTCAATCTATATTTTAACAATCCAATAAGCAAATAATCCAAGAATCTGGAGTATATGAAGAATAACGTTGTATCAGAATTGGAGAAAGAATCATTAACAACCTGTGATACGCTGACAACACAACTTGGCTTGGTGAAAGTGAGGATGACTTGAAGCACTTATTGATGAAGATTGAAGATTACAGTCTGCAGGATGGATTACATCTCAATATAAAGAAAACAAAAATTCTCACAACTGGACCTGTAAGCAGCATCATGATGAATGGAGAAAGATTGAAGTTGTCAAAGACTTCACATTGCTTGGTTCTACAATTGATGCTCATGGAGGCAGCAGCCAGGACATCAGATGGTGTATAGCACTGGACAAGTCAACTGCAAAGGACCTCTTTCAAGTGCTGAAGAGCAAAGATGTCTCCTTGAGGACTAACGTGAGCCTGACACCAGCCATGATATTTTCAATCACCTCATATGAATGTGAGAGCTGGATAATGAATAAAGAAGACTGAAGAATAATTTATGCTTTTGAGATTTGGTGCTGGAGAAGAATGCTGAAAGTACCATGGACTGCTAAAAGATCTAACAAATCTGTCCTGGAGGAAGTGCAGGTGGAATGCTCCTTGGAAGTGAGAATGGCCAGACTTCGTCTCACCTACTTTGGTCATGTTGTCAGAAGGGACCATTCCTTGGAGAAGGATGTCATGCTTGGTAAGGTGGAGTGTCGACGAAGCGGGGGAAGGCCCTCCACGAGATGGATTGACAGTGGCTGCAGCGAGTGGCTCAAGTAAAGCAGGGATCGAGGAGCTGGTGCAGGACAGGGTGGTGTTTCATTCTGCTGTGCATGGGGTTGCTATGAGTGGGAGGCAACTTAACGGCACTTAACAACAACATATTACATCATTTTGAATGATGCAATGATCTGCACATTATTTAGATGGCAGCACAAAACTTGTTAGCTTTTGAATAAAAAGTGTGGGAGAAAATATTTAAAACAGGATAACTGAATATTGATTTTGTGGATTCCAATGTATCTCTAAATATCTCCAGAAGTAAAATTTTCAATGACTGAACAGAGTTTGTTAATGCAATATACAGCTGCCATTTATCAAGATCTTTTGAGAAAAATGATTAAAACTGCAAATGCTTTGCTATGTTTGAGGCAGACCCAGATTCAGATGATTTTATATTGAGATGAACAGTATGCTGCCTGTGAGAAATTTGTACATATTCTCAGAAAGAGCATCTCCTCAGCAGCAACATCAGTACCACCTAAAAGTGAATCAACAGTCAAAGAGGAAAAAAAAAAAAATCCCCCTGGAGACACTAGAACCTATTACTTAGAACTGAAATGTTTAATTATTGACTGTATTCCTTAAGAAATTATTTAAAATCTTCATGGAGCACATGACACTTGATTCCTTCCAACCAACCCTACCCACCACCAGATTTTCCCATCTCTGTGAGTCATGCCATTCTCTGTATAGTAACTCAAGCTGAAAACCTAATCCCAGTAATAAATTTTCCATTCCCCACATTATTTTTCCAACTGTTGATTCATCTCCACTACATCAATCAAAATCTAATTTAATATAACTTTGACCTAGATGGCAATGAGTTTGGTTGTTTTGGTTTTTAGGCTTCAGCAATAGCCTCCCTTTGTATTTCCTCCAAATCTATCATCTACAAGCCTTCCTCCCTCCAGCAACAGAGTTATCTTTTAAATGTATAGCAGATAATACCTATTCTCTGCTTAAAAGTCTTTAGTGGCAAAACTCTGGCTGATCTGGAGACTGTGTTCCATAAATGCAGTCATGCCACCTTCTCTCCCATTCAAGCATGCATCAGCCTCATCAGCTACCTTTGTGGTTCAAGAAACTGCCTGCATACTTGACGTTCCCTGTGCTCCCTCATCCATTAACATTTCTCCTCATCTATTGGATCACTGTACTGCCTAAAGTTATGTGCTAATTTTTCTTATTTACAAAAAAAAAAAAAAAAAAACTTTACTGTAGAAAAATGCTTCTTAGAAGTGAGAATGGCCAGACTTTGTCTCATGTATTTGGTCATGTTGTCAGAAGGGAACAGTCCCTGGAGAAGTATATCATGGTTGGTAAAGTATATTGGGCAATGTTTTGTTCTGTTATACATTAGGTTGTTATGAGTCAGAATGACTCAACGGTACCTCATAGCAACAATATGATACTGGTGCTCTAGGAGGCACCTATGTAGATACCAGTACTCATAGTTATAGTCGTTAAGAAATATTTACCTATCTTCCATTTAATTAAATCCTGTTCTAACTGATATACAAAATAAGATAAAAAGATTAATGATTTCCAGGATTTCTCATATTCAGTTAAATGAACAGCACAAAAATAAATAAATAAATAAATACAGATCAAAGACTAACAGATTTCAGGGTGGAACACACCCAACATAAAGAAAACAAACATCTTCACAACTATAATAGTGATAAACATCATGATAAATAGAGAAAAAAAACATTGAAGTTGTTAAGATTTCATTTTACTTGCACCCATAATGAACACCTATGGAAGCAGCAGTCAAGAAATCAAAAGACATACTTATTGCACTGGGCAAATTTGCTGCAAGAGATCTCTTTAATTATCAAAAAGCAAAGATGTCATTTTTAAGACTAAGGTGCCCCTGAACCAACCCCATGGTAATTTCAATCACCTCATGTGCATGTGAAATCTGGACAATGAAAAAGGAAGACCAAAGAAGTATGCATTTAAATTGTGATGTTGGCCAAGGATATTGAAAATACCATGGACTGCCAGAAGAACCAACAAAACCATTCTTGGAAGCAAAAATGTCCTGACTCTGTCTCTCATACTTTTATCAGAGGAGAGCAGTCCCTGGAAAAGGATATCATTCTTGGTAAAGTAGATGGTCAGTGAAAAAGGGGAAGACCCTCAACAAGATGGATTGACACAGTGGCTGCAATTATGGCTCAAGGACAGCTAAGATTGTGAGGATGGCTTAGGACTTAGCAGTGCTTTGTTCTGCTGTATATAATGTCTGTCTCTATGAGTCAGAACTAACAGCACCTAACAACATCAACAAATCAAATATATTACTAATGCATAATTTGTATAACAGGATGGGCTTTACCTTACATATTATCTCTTTACATTTACTATTGTCTCCTAAATTGTGCAAAGCAGTTCTGCCATTCACTTATTTTATGCAATTTTATTAGTAATATTTATTTGTATTTCCACATATATGTGTAGACACAAACATATTGAGAAAGAAACTATTTTATGCAGTTAGAGATTTCTCAAATATCCTTACCAAATAATCTCAAAATCCCAAAAGCCACACCCAAGGCCAGGGAACGGTGGTTTTCAGATACACTTCTGCAAGCAAACAGCAATGATAGATCATCAGCACATCATTAGAATTAGCTAAAGAGAATGCACAGTCAGTTCAAAATTAATCTTTTTTTCTTCTACATCAATCAGAGTAAGATTTTTGTTCAGTTGATGAAGTTTAACCTTACCAATTGAAGGACTATAGTTCCTCCCATTTCTCCATATTCTTTCTACCTTTGCAAAATCCCTTGCTATTTGCAAAGAAAAATGATTTCTGGCCAAAGTCCTCTGCCCCAGTGTCCTTTTATTTTGCTGAAAAAAAAACTTAACATCAGCTATTACACTTAGCTTTCTTCATTCCCTCATGCACACACATTGTTTTTTTCCTTTTGCCCCCATGAAATCCATCTCTAGTGTTTCTCTACCTTGTTGTCTTCCCTGAAAAGCTGACCAATATAGGCTATATAGACTTCCTTGCCTTCTGTCTTCTAATTGGGTTTTGCCAGTGAGGCACTCCAGACTGAGGGAAGAGAGCAGGGACTGAAAAGGTGTCAAGGTCTTCATTCCCAGCTCCATTCCTGCAGTCACCTCAGACCTCAGGCCTCAGGCACATAAATCAAAGCAATCTTCTCTAGCAATTTCTCTCTTTCCCACTGCCTCCCTTGTACACATTTGGGTCCAGGCTGATAAAAGACCAGAAGTATTACATTATAACCTGGCATTTGTTACACCCAGCCCATTTTCAAATAGTCACTTCATCCAGTCTTACTCAAATTGTTCTAATTTGAGGCTGATACCATTATGAGTCAGGTCTGACTCAAAGGCACATAACAACAACAACAACAACCACTTTTTCAATGGGCCTGTAACTATTATGCTCATTATTTAAAAGCTAAAATAAATGATAAATAATTTTCCCTAAAATAAAGAATAGGAGCTCTGGTAGCATAGTGCCTAAGGCACTTGACTGCTAACCAGAAGGCTGGTTGTTCAAACCCACCAGCCACTCCTCCGAAGGAAGGTTGGGCAATCCTACTTCTGTAGTGATACTGCCTCAGAAATCCAAGGAGGGGTCACTATGAGTCGGGACCGACTCGACGGCACATAACAACAACAAGATAAAGAATGAGGATATTTGCATTTCCTATAAATCATACCATGTTTTCTTTTGTGTTTTTTTAAAGAAAAATATTATCATACATAATAATGTAACATAATAGCTTGGAAAACAAATTTTAAATACAAGTAAAATAATAAATTTTCAAGCATGTTAGGAAGTAAAATAATGAGCTATACTTTCACAGGTAATTTAAATAAACTCTATGCTTGTCTTCATCTTTGTTTTGTAACTTGAACAATAAACTGTAGTGTGAACAATATTTTCAGCCAAAGTGGCTCAATTCACAAAAATATAGTATATGTACAATGTTTTGTGTCTATTTTGCAAAATGTGAGATAATTCTACTTATACCAATTGGGCAAAATATATATTCTTTTCCTGAAATGTTCATTACTAGGAAAAGGGAAAAAATTAACCAATTCTCAAATAATACAAATACTGAAATAAAAAATAATTTACACTAATTTTTATGAAAGATTCATTAAAGAGAGGTAAACAAAATCAAGTGCCACATTTTAAAACCAAACTTTAGTATAAAGTTTTTGGTATAAAGTCAAAATTTTGGTCATATGCATAATTCTGATTGAGAATTTAACTTTTTATTTGACATACACATTTTTCAATATGTAACATTATATTTGTACCAAAAGGAATTAGTCAACAGTCAAGCATTTCAGTAAACAGTATATGATCAAGAACCAATGGTACTGAAGAAAAAAGTCAAAGCTGCACTGAAGGAATTTGCAAAAAACAAGGCTCCAGGAATCAATGGAATAGCCATTGAGATATGTTAAGAAATGAATGTAATGCTGAAGGTGCTCATTTATTACAAGAAATGTGAAAGACAGCTATCTGGTCAACTGACTAGAACTGATCCATATCTGTGCCCACTCCAAAGAAGGTAATCCAACAGAATGCAGAAATTATGGAACAATATCATTAATCTTACACACAAGTAAATTTTGCTGAAAATAATTCAAAAAGGTTGCAGCAGTACATTAACAAGGAACTGCCAGAAATACTAGTTGGATTTAAAAGAGAATGTGAAGCAAGATACATCATTGCTGATGTCAAATGGATTTTAGCTAAAAGCAAAGAATACCAGAAAGATGTTTACCTGTGTTTTATTGACTACACAAAGGCATTCAACTGTGTGGATCATAACAAATTATTTATAATAATGCAAAAAATGGAAATTCCAGAATGCTCATGAAGAACCTATACATAGACAGAGGCAGTCATTCAAATAGAACAAGTGGACACTGCATGGTTTAAAATCAGGAATTGTGTGTTTAAGGGTTATATCTCTTCACCATACTTATTCAATCTATATGCTGAGCAAATAATCTGAGAAGCTGGGCTATATGAACTAGAACACTCATCCGGATTGGAGGAAAACTCATTAACAACCTGCAATATGCAGAAGACACAACCTTGCTTGCTGAAAAGGAAGATGACTTGAAGCACATCAGAGACCATAGCCTTCAGTATGTATTACACCTCAATATAAGGAAAACAAAAATCCTCACAACTGGACCAATAAAGAACATTACAATAAATACAGAAAATAATTGAAGTTGTCAGAGATTTCGTTTACTTGGATCCACACTCAATCTCCATGGGGGCAGCAGTCAAGAAATCAGAGGACGTATTTCACTGAGGGCAAATCTGCTGAAAACACCCTCTTTAAAGTGTTAAAGAGCAAAGTTGTCACTTTCAAGATTCAAAACCAAACTCATTGCTGTTGAGTCAGATCCGACTCATAGCAACCCCTCTTTGGGTTTCCAAGGCAGTATCACTATGGAGGTAGATTGCCCAGTCTTCCTTCAGAAGAGTGGCTGGTGGATTTGAACAACCAGGCTTCTGGTTAGCAGTCAAATGGCTTAGGCACTATGCCACCAGATTAAGTCACGGTATTTTCAGTTCTTTCATATGTATGGAAAAGCTGGACAGTGAATAAGGAAGTGTGAAGAAGAAATGATGCATTTGAATTGTGGTGTTTGTGAAGAATATTGAAAAGACCATGGACTGCCAGAAGAAAGAACAAGTATGTCTTCGAGGATGTTGTGATAGTTGGAGCTGTGTGTCAACTTGACTGGACCACAATTCTGTGTGGTTTAAGCAGTTGTGATGTGGTTATTCCCATGATGGAATCAGATGAGTATGTTTTGAGCAGACAATCCATTGAAAAGGAGTTTCCCTAGGGTGTGGCCTGCTTCCAGTATATTTATGGACATCCTGGTAAAAGGGACATTCTTCTGTGGGTCGGGATTCTGTTGTGCTGCCTACAACTGTTCGTGAGTGAGCAATCCATGATTCGGCCTGGAGATCTTGGATTCATCATTCGTTTGAGTCAACAGCCAGAATACTGCCTGCCAACCTTGAGCTCCTCAGCCTCTGCAGCTGAGTGAGTCAGGAAAAGCCTCTAGCTTGACATTTGATCCAAGAACTTAGGACTTGCCAGCTTCTATAAGTGTGTGAGCCACTTTCCTAAGATAAATTTCTCTTTCTCTATATATATAAGCTTTACTGGTTTTGTTTCTCTAGAGAATCCAGCTTAACACAGATGTACAGCTGGATTGCTCCTTAGAAGTCAGAATACCCTGACTTCACCTCACATACTTTGGTCATGTGATCAGAAGGGAGTGGTGCCTGAAGGTGGATATCATGCTTGGTAAAGTAGCAGATCAGAAAAAAAGGGAAAGATCCTCAATGAGATGGATTGACACAGTGGCTACCACAGTAGGCTCAAGCATAGGAATAATTGTGAGGATGGTGCATGATCGGGCAGTGCTTTGCTCTGTTGTACATTGTGTCATTATGAGCCAGCATTGACTCAATGGTGCATAACAACAGCAACATTATGATATTGGTGCTCATGAAGTACTTATAAAGTGTACAATTACCCACAAGTATACTCACTATGAAATATTTACCTATCTTTAATTACAACCTTGTTTCTAACTGATACACAAAATAAGATGAAAAGATTAATGATTTCCAGGATTTCCCAAATACAATTAAATGAACAACACACAATAAATATATAAATATAAATACACACACACATTGTTGTTGTTATTTGCCATCAAGTCGGCCCCAACTCATAGCGACCCCTCCTTGGGTTTCCGAGGCAGTATCACTACGGAAGTAGGATTGCCCAACCTTCCTTCCGAGGAGTGGCTGGTGGGTTTGAACCGCCAGCCTTCTGGTTAGTAGTCAAGTGCCTTAGGCACTATGCTACCAGAGCGCCACACACACACATATATATACCTATATACCCATTGCCATCAAGTTGATTTCCACTCATAATGAACCCCATAGGTTTTCCAAGGCTGTAAATCTTTATGGAAGCAGAATGCCTTGTGTTTCTTCCATGGAGCAGCTGATGAATTCAAACCATCAACCTTTGTGTTAGCAGCCCAATGCCTTAACCACAGTGCCACCAGAGCTCCTAAATGCACACACACACACACACACACATTCTTAGTTCTCTAGTGCTGCTATAACAGAAAATACCACAAGAGGATATTATTAACAGAAATTTATTCTCTTACAGTTTAAGAGACTGTTGTTGTTGTTGTTGTTATGTGCCATCAAGTCGGACCCGACTCATAGCGACCCTTCCTTGGGTTTCCGAGGCAGTATCACTACGGAAGTAGATTGCCCAATCTTCCTTCCGAGGAGTGGCTGGTGGGTTTGAACCACCTGCCTTCTGATTAGCAGTCAAGTGCCTTAGGCACTACGCTACAGAGCTCCCAGTTTAAGAGGCTAGAAGTCTGAATTCAGAGTGCTATTTCTAGGGCAAGACTAGGCTAACAATCTAAGTTCAGAGTGCGAGCTTTAAGCAAAGACTATCACTGTCTGGATTCTGAGGGGAGGACTCTTGACCTTGGACCTGAGCACTGCCTTCCAGGCCCACAGA